TATTGTGCCAGCAGTGTGTTTCTTTTATTTAGGAGAGGGTTGTTGTTTGATGACTAAGTAGCAGGCAGGATGGGTGTGTGCTGGAATTTCCTGCCACCTTTTGTGTCACTGCAAGCAAAAGACAGCAGTGGATGTTGCTTTGCTTTGCAGAGGATCAGGATACTTTCACATTTGTTGTTTAAAAAAATAAATAAATTGAGGGCGGGGTGACTTTTAGGTCTTTTACAGAAAAGTTAAGGCTTATAAAATATACTTTATGGTTGTAATTGTGGGACAACAGTGCAAATTTAGCATATCTACATAGATTGTGCTTTCTGTGAGGTGTCTGTACAAAGAGGATGTGGGTAGTGTCTTGTCTGTCAGTGCGGTTCCCCCTGTTCAAGACTGTTGTGATTTCCTTTCTGCTCACCAGGCCCAATGTAACGGGCTGATGTTTCATAACAGACACGTGTGTGTGTGTGTGTGTGTTTTCTTTGCTTTTTGTTTTTGGCTAGCTGACTGATTGCCCTCAGCCCTCTGGGTTTATTCGCAGCAGGCTCGGAAAGGTCAGCTTTTAACAACAAGTCAAGTATAATGACTCCATATTGAGTGGAAGTAGCTTTGTTTGCTGCTGTGCTGGTCTTGCGTCAGTGTTTTTATGGAATGACATTTAGCGGGAATTATGTCCTCTGTTTGTGTGTGTGTGTGTGTGTGTGTGTCTGAGTCTGAGCCTGTCTTTGTGATATTATCTTTGCGCCCATGTTTGCATTTATCTTAACCAGTTTTACTGCTTCGAACAATCATCTCTCAAGCAGGAAGTGCCTGCACGCAACAATGGGCTATTTAATGCCTTTTTTCCTTTCTTTTCTCCTCCTTTTTTTCTTATTTTACGTCTCCTCTCTGGGCTTACAATAGTGCACTGTTGGACTCGGGGCGGAAACTCGGGGCGGGTAAAAAGCGCCAGCGCTCTGGAACACGCTCAGAGAGAGACGCCTGTTGTTTCTGCACAGCGGATGGCTATTTGGTAGCGCTTCCACCACCCAGCTGCCCCCCTCTCCCCTTCTTGCTCACTCACCCCCTCTCTCTCTCCCCCCCCCCTCCTTGCTCAGCTTGCTCTGCCTCTCCAAGCCCCTCCTCTGCTGCTGTGTTGCCTAGCAACCAAGGGCTGGAGCAATCGGAGCAGGGGCAGAGCGATTCGGGGAGCAGATTGGCAGATGATTTATTAGCTGGGCTGGAGAGCAGTGAGCCCAGGCAGCTGAAATGGAGCCTTAAACTGGAGCCGACATGTAGAGAAGGGAGGAGGGAGCCAGCGAGAGAAAGAAAACGAGAGGGAGGGCGAGCACGCACGCAGCTCCTCTGTGGAGATGAACGGGCGCACTGAGTAAATAGTACAGTTGGGGGGGGGAGAACATAATTAAGGTGACATAATTAGGACAGATGCAGGCTGCACGGGCAGGTCTAATTGATTTTTGACGTAGAAGCTCTGCAGGCTCAGGTAAAGCTGAGACATGGAAATTTATCCTCAGCACCGCCTCACCCCTCATCCACCTTATCATCTGGTCTACCTCAGGTTCAGGTTTATTAAATATTTGTGAATCCTCGGGTAGTTTTCCTCTTGTTTTTTCCCCGCAAACATTTGCGAAGCTAATACTTCAGCTGGTTATTTACTCGGTTTTGTCAGCGCCTGTCAAACAAACCCTGGAATAGGCCTTCCACCGGTGCTCTGTTGCTCTCTAGACTGCTTTTGAGTGACAGTGTAAATAGTAATCTTCCCCTTTAACCCCCTTGAGTGGTCGGAGATTTTATTATTTTTTTCCGTTGCATGTGGCGCTTGTGTTAGAGACGGCTCCATCTACTGGCTAATCAGCCGCTACACCTTCAAGCTGATGAATGCAAATTAGCTGCTGTCTCATGACACTTACAGGATAGGCCGTTTTGTTAAGCTGTCAGCTGAGCGTGTCTAGCTTTTTGATCAGGCCCTCTTGCGTTTGCTTGTTTAGTCTGGTTTAATTTCGACCTGTGCCTTCTTTCTTTATGTTTTTGTCCGCACGATAACAAAGCAGAGCTGGAAAATTTGAGAATATCAAGTTTGCTTGTGTTAACGACGTAAGTATAGTAATTCACAAAGCTCTCTCTCGCCTGTAATTTTCCCTGAAAGGCAGTTGTGCTTCGCAGCTGGCTGCTGGTTACTTCTGTAAATTTGGCTTTTGTTCCCCCACCAAAATGAGGTATGTAAACAATCTGTGGTTGCATAACATACTGTACATGGCATGGAAAATGAACTCCGGACAGCACGGGAGAGGCTCCATATCTGGTTTTCCCTCCCACTTGTGTCCTTTCCACCGTGTCCAAGACCTTTCTCCACACAAATTGTGTCAGCCTGGCTCCCCTCTCAGGCGGGCAGCTAGTTTTGCCTCCGTGCAGGCTCACTCCATGCTGTAGTTTCCTCACAAGGAAATAGAAACCTGTGTAGTTTCAGTCGCAAGCATTGGCTTAGGTTTTTCTCTGTGTGTGTGTGTGTGAGGGGTGGGTAGAGAAGTAAAGCTTGCCCATTCAGTGCTAGAGGCTGAAATGAAAGCTGTGCCTAACACTAACATGAAGCACAGGACTCCACTTCGGGTTTTCCATCCTGCTGCAAACCAGAGGCTCTCTTGCAGAAAGATCACATGTAAAGCCTTCCCCTTTGTAGTGGAAGAGCAGAGAGTGACAAGCTATTTCTTTCTTGTTAAAAAAAAAAACATAAGAAGAACGACGTCCTGTCGGAGACATTGTGGATTTACCCCCCTTTAATTTTCCCTTTACCTGTGGGTGGACGTAGAGATTTGTGCTGTGCTCCCCGAGGACTTTTCTCTGCTTTTCTTTTTTTTTTTTTTTTTTTGCTGGAGTTACTTGGTGGAAACGGTTGGCTGAGATCACTGTGGAACGGGGCTCGCCTCTGGAGCAAGAAAGTAAATCTGTTGGTTGTCTGCTTCGCTGGTTATGAATGTTTTTCAGCCGTCGCTTTTTATGGCTCGCAGTCTGTGGCTCTTAAAGGAGAAGAAATATATGTAGGTTGCTCTGATTTTTGGGGGCTTTCCGACATTGTTTTTTTTTTTTTTGTTTTTTCGTGCTCACATTGAGGTAAGGGCTCTCGTTGACGTTCAGTTTATTTTTAATGTCAGATTAAATCCAGTGTCACGAAGTAGCCGTCTCTGTCATCGTGTAGTTCCCCTTACTTAGAAATAATTATTTTTTTGGACATTTAAATTTTTCTGGGGTTTGTTAGATTGCCAAAATATAACGACAGAATTAGAAACGGAGTGCCACGCACGGAGAGGCATCTTCAAGTTTAGCTTTTGACTTTGAACTTTCACTTGGGAGATTAACAACACGTTTGGCATGCGTGCTGTTGTGTTTGTTTTCACATTAGGTCGTGTTTGTCTAACTGTACGTTCTGCGCTCGTGAAACGACGAGCTTAATCTCAGCGTCTCTCCCTGCCTTGCCTGTCATTTCCTCTCTGGTTTTGCCCTGACATGGCTGTGTTTGCTCCGGAGTTTAAACGGCTGTAGAGGTTTATAAAAAAACGCAGCGAACCTCAGACGACCGCAGCGTAGCGAAATGAAAACAACGTTCTTTGTCGTGGTGTTAAGCAGAAAACTTTATCCTGTGGTACTTTAGCTGACTTAACATATACTCACTGCTCTTTTTTTTTCTTTCCCTCTCCCCCCCCTCTTTCTCTCGTTCTCTCTCTCTTCCTCTGTGCAAAAAAAATTGCAGAAGCGCTTCATTAAAGGGTTGAGACAGTTCGGCAAAAACTTCTTCAGGATCCGGAAAGAGCTGCTGCCCAACAAAGAGACGGTAAGCTCGTTTATTTCTCTCTGTGCCACCGATACAAAAACAGAGAAACTGAAGCATTTGCAGTTTCCTTGTAAGTTCCAGAAAGCAAGTTTTAGTTTAATGCTATGAGGCCTTATTGTTAAGAAGTGCTGCTTGCCAACAACTCTAGCGCAGTATTATCACATCAGGCTCAGTGGAAAATAATAATATTAATATTAAAAATACTTGTTTGTGCAAACCTGAGCTTAAATGTACTTCCCAGGCGAGTTACACGCTCAACATTAATTAGCACCCTCTGTTAGCAAGTAGTAAACAAGTAGTGCAGATGTGATTTGACCCACTGTGTTTACAGCATATGTCAGCTCTGTGGAGCAGCCTGCTTTATCTCATGTTTGTGCTACAGTGCTTTATTATTAGCACTTGGGATTTTTCCTTTCTTTCTCTTGGTCTTTCAACCATTTTCAGAGCAAACTAAAGGGCAATGCGATGTCTTCCACTAGGATTACAAAGCAATAAACGTGACTGTTTGAACATCAACAAAGTTACATTTGTGTCTGGCCTGGTAGAGAGAATCAAAGGTCATAACTTTGATTACTGTCATTTAATCAAACCTAAGCCAGTATTTTTTTATTTTATTTTATAAATTCAGAGAGTTGTTTCCTTCTTAGCTGATTTGAGAGGAAAATGTTTGTACACTCCAAACTTTTGCAACTGGAGATTATTGTGCCTGCGGTTAAGGTAGCTTCCTGTTGGTGGTATCGTATGCCTCCTTTAAACAAAAGCTTTGTCACTGACTGCCAAAGTTGTTTTGTACCTCTCGCACTTTGTAAATGTGCTATTTATGTACATAAGCAGAGGGAATTTCCTCCTGTCAGCGGCTCCCTGCTCTTCGTGCGGGTGTGTGTTGTAATCGTTATTGAACGTCCGTGTGACCTGCGCCACTAACAAACAGGTCAGATTCAGGCCTGGCAATGATTAACAGCAGCTCACCTCGTTCAGTGTGAACTTTGCGTTGGAAACAAAACACTGAAGCCACACTGTTTTTGTGCGTTTACTTCTTTAGATATAAAACCTCTTAAAGGGCTCGACCTGCATTTTTTATTTTGCCTGTAATTGGCTGCAGAGCGAACAGGTTCATGTTGCTTCAAAGCCTTTAGACTCGGCTGTTAAATAATTCTTAGATATACATTTTGATTCATGAAACAGTGCAGACTTTGCTGTTTCTGCGAGGCTGCTCCTGCTGGAAGTGTGCCGATATAGTGCTGACACAGACATCAAAGGAAAATCAAAGGTGTTTGTCATACTTTTCATCTGCTTCATTTCCTCGCCTGCTCCGAGGTGAGGGTACGTCAGCCCTCCTTTTCTAAAACCCGCAACATATCCTGTAATATTTTTACACCCCAACTCTTTAGTGTCGTCTCCTTTTGTGCTATTTTTTTTTTTTTCATTCTTTATTCCTCAAAACCAATTTGAGCCTCTTGAATAAGAGATTAAAGTGTATGAATACTGTTTCCTCGCAGAGGGTTTCTTCAATTATTTTTACTGGTTTTGAAATATATGACTAGTCCAGTTGATTGGCTATAAAGGAGGTATTAATGCACTTCAACCTGGAGGGGGGAGTCTACTTGGCAGGAGAGGTAATAGACCTCCTCCAGGATATGGGCCTGCCACCACCACAGAGCAGAGAAAGATTAATTTTTCCCCCTGCAAATGGAAAATAAACTGGCCTTTAAATATGAAAAGATGACTGGGAGAGCACGGAGAGGGTAGTAGCGACCTATGAAAAAAGGGAGTAAAAGAGCCAGTAAAGTCTGTGTTTTCACACAAGGAGAAAAAAAAAAACAAGCCTTTGCTTATGACTGAGCTTGTTTTTGTGCTGCTTGGCTGATCGGAGCAAGTGCCAGCTAATACCCAGAGGAAAGTGCCCATTTATTTTCTCCCTCCTCATTCCCAAATCCCAGATCTCCAGAACATGAGGACAACAATATCTCTAGATATTTTAGGTGTGGGAAATAACAGCGATTTTTCCCATTATCTCCAGTCTCTCTGTCTCTCTCTCACACACACACTATTCCAGTTGCATGAAAGAAGATGTATGAGTCCTGAGCAGCACAAAGCCCAGAGGTCCGGTACCGCGCGCCCGGCCCTCACTGCTCCTTCCGCTAGCTCCTATTAGCCGCGCTGCCCCTGAAGCGTCAGCACGGCTCGAACAGCCAGTGCCAAGGGTAAGCACCCAGCGCTGTGTAAACACACCAGGCCCGACTAGCACTCAGGAATGCCTTATATAAAGTCACATAAAGGCCCACAGGGGGAAGTGGGTGGGTGTGTCGCCTGACCGTCTGCAACTGGCCACCATTTCCTTCACTCACGAGAGGACGTCATGGAACACGATCCGCTGCCTTCAGTGTTTAAACAACCGAATATGCTGAAATGGTAGATCACAGATAACTACGCGCCTGATATTTTCACTCAACAGACGGTTTTTGCCAAACTGATTTAAATCGGCGACCTCTTAGTTTGCCGTGCAGCTCGACGGAGAAATTGACAGCTGAAATTTAGATCAAATTAGAGAGTTTTGGCCCGTTTCCCTGCAGGACCGAGCCCAGACGACGTCACTGGTGGAAAAGGGTACAGCACGAGCAGCAGCAGATTGCAAATGAGAATGTATTGCAATACCTGGGTTTTTACTCCTTTAAAGACAGAGACTGTTTTCAGTGTGCAGACGCCAGTGTTACTCAGCAAAGTAAAATATGCATGACAGCGTAAAAAACACTGATGTAAAAGCAACTCATGCCTGAAATTATATTCAGTACAGGTTGTCTCTTTGTGTCCTGTGAGAGATTGCATGAAAACACTGGTAATTTACTTACTTCATGCACACATAAGTGTATTATACTCTATATTTATAGATCAAGAAAGTGTTTCACAATACAACTCAGAGCAGCCTTAATCTAATAAAGTCAGTGAAGCAGTGTAAAACAATTTACAGGCCATAGGACAAAAGCATCTGAGTGTGTGTGATAGGTTTTTTTTCCCCTACCAGCTTCCCTACTGGTTTCTCTTTGCTCCATGTTTAAATATTTAGCTTCATAAAGGCCTAGCATTATCACCAAGACGACTCCGTAATTGTAGTTCGGTCATATATATTAGATGGTGGTGTAGTTGTAGTAATGTTACAGCCCAGAATGTCAGCTGTAAGTAGACGTAGAGGGCAGGAAAGGTGGGGGGGGAGATAAAACGCTAAAACTGATTTGGTGAGACATTTTTATGCTGCTGGTTCCTGCCTTGTTTTTGGCACAGAGCGGGAAAAAGCCAGAAAGGTGCTTTGGCAGCGCATTAGAAAAGCTAACACAGGTGAAGCCACAGTGTGCGTTTTCTTCTTGTTAGCGTCACGCATTGAACAAGCGCTCTCAGTCAGCAAACAGTTAGCATCCAACACCAACTGGTGAGTTTATCGGAGCTTTAATTTATCAGCTTCCTGCAGTTTGTTATCATTCTAGCGTGTGCGCTAATTTTCAGGTCCACACAGAGATGCTATATCTGAGCTATATGTCTGATTTTTAAAGGAGGCGATGTGCCGAGCGCTCCTCACAGCATCTTCTTCTCTCGGAGAAAAAAGGGAGCACTCGGTCCCCGAAGGCCCTGTCATTTATGGGACGCCCAACAGGAGAACGGTGTTCCCAACACAACCTCACGCAGCAGATGTTTGCCCCGGTACAATCTGTACAAACGTCGCATTGAATTCATTGCCATGTCGTCAGCTCAGCAGCCAGAACCTCGGGGATGAGTGTGATTATAAATACTTAGGTTGAAACACTAATTAAACCAGCAGCGAACTACAGGAGCCTGGTCCAGTTGGCAGCAGCTGTCGGCGGTGTGACAGAACAGCTTCCGCGTTTGGTAAATGATATAACTTGTTTAGGCAGTGAAATCGCTGCCGGCTGATGGAAGCTCAACCAGCACGTATTGATGTTCTTTTAACAGACCACAGGCAATTTAGCGCAGCTGAGTGTAGGCAAAATCTTTTTTCAGCCTAATAGACGGAGCCCAGAGAGCCAGAGCTCCCTGTGTAATTGAGTTCTTTGGTAGGCTTCATGTTGTGAGTTTTTTTAGGGGAGGGGAGACTAGCTTATCAGCAGAACACGCAGGATCGACCCTCCAGCAAAAAAGGCACTGTTGCCATCCAATCTGCTTTCACTGGCCAAATCGCTTACAGCAGGAAAAACACGAGTGCTGATTCTTCAGCATGTGCATCCCTGACCTGTGAAAGCAGAGCTTATTCAGTCATTCTCCGGCAGAAAGGCGCTGCGCAGCAGGGAACGGCTGTCTATTTAGCCGCCTTTCACATGCACCCCGCTCCACCAGCCAAGATCTTTTCACTATTCAGTCTTTCTTCGTTTTTGAGGCATCGCTGTGGTGTAGGTGTGTTTTTGAATTCATCACATACTGTACACGTGCCTAGTAGCTTCAATATTTGGGCTTGTAATTTAGTTTCACACAACACAAACACAAATAAATGATGTAAGGAGGGAAAGTGTAGTTTGGTAACTCTAAGCAGTAATAGATTTTATTCCCCCTGACATAACGATGTTTTATTTATTATTGGAAATTTGTAAATCCAGAACTAGACTCTGGTGTCACTGGCTGCATATAATATAAAAAGTTTGGAAGCGCACATTTCTGTCGTCTTTTCCAGCAACTTTCATAAAAATCCTGATAATTTCTAAAATAAACTTTCACTGAAACATATTAAATGGGACGCACAAACCCACTCCTGGCCTTCTGAAGAACATACACGTTCATAAAGTTACGCCCTCCAGTTACATTCATGGTGAGGATGATGGCGAAGTCGCGCACGCTCCAGACGATTCACTGTGCAGCCTGACATGGGCGACGGAGGAGTTGGGAGTCCACAGGTCGAGCTCATGTATAATTAAGTCCTGGCTTGATTTAGCTCAGAAATACTTCCCCTTTCACCTTACTGAAGTGAAGCAGGAAGCAGTCCTCCCTGCTCTGACTGCAGGCTGTGGAGGAAGCAGGAGTAGCGCAGGTTCATGCTGCACTAATGGTTGTTTACACAACTCGCTGTCAGCCACCAGGACCTAGAAATCACACGCTCCCAGCCCTCTCTGCTCCCCGACCGCCTTAAATTTTTAGCAGAGATTTTTATTTGCTGTGAGATTTTCAGGACTGGTTTGTGGTTGGGATTCAGTGTTGATTGTCCATTGTTCTCTGCTGCTGGCTTTCTTTTTTTTCTTCTTATATTCCTCCCTCTCGACTCTTCTCGGCACTCAGCCCTCCCCCTCCTCGGCTCTCCCCTGTTCTCTCCTCCTTCCCCTGCTCTTGCCAATAACGGCCTTAACCGTTTGGCTTCATGTCAAAGCAGAGGCCTTTTGTGGCTCTGTCACAAATCTGCCAGGAAAAACAGAAACCATCTGTTCAGGCCTGGGCCTGAGAGGAGACGAGGGTGTAAATACACGAGTTTAGCCCTCGCCCTCAGCTCTACCCGTGTACATACGACCACCGAGCTCACCCTCTACCAGCGCTCCCACCCGCAATTACACTGTAGCCTAAAGTGGTTAACCCTTTTCAGTCACAATCTGGCCTCAGGAGGCATTTTCCTAATTTCGTCACCTGCTAACCTCTGTTAGCAGCTGTTTGTGAGAATAGCATTACAGTAAGGTTAAAATACAAAAGTCACGCATCTCTATATGCATGCTTTATGAACTCGAACTGCAAGTATTTAATTTAAAGCGATAGCACAATAATCACTATGAACATATTTTTTTAGATAACTGCACATCTTTATGTAGATGACCATTTTAAGTGGCAGTAACTGGAACGGAAGGCCTGAGCGCCCTGATATGAGGGTAAGCCCTTCCCTTGCTGGATAATCCACCGGCCAGAAAGCTCCTGCAGATGGAAGCAGCCTAAAAGGCCTAATAATACTGAGCTTATGTTGTCACTATCTCATGTTCGGCAAAGCGGCAGCAGCACACTCTGTGCCGCTCTGCAGCGATTTAGTGGACTAGGGAGAAAATTATGCTGCAGAAGCCTTGGGACTATGTAAATTTGTCTTTCAGCTGTTTTAGATGCAGGTTTGTTTAGTTGTTTCTTTTATGGAGGTGTTAATTTTATGAAGGGAGGGGGAAAAGACATGGCATCAGTAGGTAAAACACAAACCTGCTTCCACAACGGCCAAACGGGGAGAATAAACTGCGAGGTAACTGGAGTTAAATTGTTGCTGCGGGCATGTGGCAGCATGATAAAGTGGCTCTGATGCAGAAAAGTGTTTAGTTGGTGTGAGAGACGGGACTTGCACAACTTCAGAGGACCCAAATCTGTCAGTCTCACTGTGACACAAATGCATTGCACAAAACTTCTCTCACGTGCAGCATGTTCACATCGGGCTGTTTCTCTGCACAACACGTTCACTGTGCTCACAGTCCTTCCTTTATCAGTGCGACTGCACTCCACAGTTATTACAGCTTTATGATTTTGAACGAGCTTTTATTATTATTTTTATTTTGTTGTCATTTTTTTGCTTTGGATTCAGTCTTGTTTCAGTTAGTTTTCAGTGCAGGTTTGCTCATTTCAGTTTGAAGCGAGATTTAGTAAAGTCACCACAGATATAATTTTAAAAAAACAGGAGGTTTTGAAAGCAGTTGAGTCTTGCCTCATAAGGCAAGTTTTGGCAAAAAATTTTTTTACCGAACACTAAAATTAAGGATATTTTCTCTATATTTTTATTTTACTTTGAATTAGGTTCACAAACATCTATTTTTTTTAATTAATTTTAGTTACCTGCAACCTAGTTTTAGTTAACCATGCTCAACTTGCTGCATTCAAATTTAAAATCTGTGTATATTACAGATATTATTATACTTGCAGACATTTCCACTGCATCATATTTGTACTGAATTTGCTGAGCTGTGCTTCTTGTTTTCCTATTTTTTATTTACATCTGGCTGCACCAGCTCATCACCACACCTGTTAATTCCCATTCAAAAGCCCAAGTTAATGTTTTCATTAGCCCCTGCCTAATGTAATGGTACTTGACACAGCGTAAGTGATGGAGAGGCAGGGTGACCTTTCCTTGTGTCTGCCAAGCTGTTGCTGAGGCCGTGTACTTGTCAACCCGCAGCGAGGAGGCAGAGAGGCACTGCTGAGAACAGTCATTAAGCACAGAGCAAAGCCAGCGCTCGGCACCACTCGACACTTTTGATCTGCACATTTCAATTAGATTTCACATCAGGATGCCCGCCTTCTTTCAGTTAGCACCTGCGCCCTTCCCCTTCCCAACTGGCCGGCAGGTTGAAGTGGGAGGCGCACAAGAAAGGCCACAAAGTTCTGTCGCCGACTGAAACGGCAGCAGCATAATGTAGCTTTTAGGTGATAATATAATCAGTATCCATGTGCTTTTTTTATCTTAAAGCCCAATGCGTGTGGAATCCATCCACCGATCCAGATAAACTGCTGCCGAAGCCTCCACCGGCTCGTGGGGTTTTCCGCTGGAGCAGTGGTTTTCCTGGTGTAGTGCCTTAATTTACCCTGAAATGTGAGGAGGTTTCATTGAGCTCAGACACCCTCAGTAAATGTTTCCAGCACTGCTTTGCCTGATAAGGTGGAGTCCTGCAGGCTCTGGTAGATATGAATTTCCCCTAAGAGTTACATTGTATGTGTACGTGTGCTACAGTTCACTGGCTTTATTTTCTGTTTTTGTTCAAGGGCGGGGGGGGCTTTTCTTAGCCATTTCGTCAAATCACTTCCTCCTTTTTCATGTTTCGCTACATTTTGATAGACGATATCAGGCTGTTGCTGAAAAGCTGTTAATGCATTTCAGAGAGCAACGGACTGACTAATTAATGTCAAGTTTCTCGGCTGAAGCAGAGAAGGAAAACAATCAATAGCCATTAAACCCTGGGAGCTTTGTTGAACAGCGGTTTAACAGACCTCAGACAGTGGCTGGGTGCCCTCGGGGCTTTTGAGATTACAGGTGACTTACTGCTCACCCTGCGAACACACACTGCACCTTTTGTAAATTTGTTATAGAGTCAGTGGAAGATGACTAACAAGTGAGAGTTCACAGCGAAGGCAGAAAAGGCGAAGCTTTACAGGAAACTACATAATTGCCACCGACTCCTGTTGCCAATTTTTAGGGCTTGTGTTTCACGAGTGTGGCAGGAAAGCTGCAGTTAATATGCACAGGCTGCCTCAGCAAAGTGCTTTCTGATCCATGATTGCATGTGTTAATGTTTCAGTTGGGTATTGATTTCCTGACGGCCTTTTGTACGCTGGATTTATCCGCCCCGCTCGCTGGCAAGCGCACCCCTCCGAATGTTTGATTAAAGTTCAATTGACTCTTCCAGTGAAGGGGCGAGGAGCCATTTCACTCCCTATTTGTAGCGCCAAAGCTCTGCCTGACATGTTCTTTTGTTCCCATTCAACCTCCTGCCACCCAGGCAGCCACCATTGCACTGATCCTAATATCCCTGCATTCAGTGAGTCTCCTGGCCTAATCCTGGGACAGACAGGGCCGCAGCACAAACATGCCCAGCCAGCTACAAATCCTGGCATGGACTGACCCGCTCCATGGCCTTTCACTGTGAAACGCAGCACCCGCTGCTAATGTGTATCCTCCACAGATTTCATTCCACCTAACTGCAGATATTTCACCTCTTTGCAATCAAAAGTGAATCCTCCCCCTTATCACAGACGCTCGTTTGCGTTCCTAAGATGTCGCTGCCCGTTTTAACGGCGCCTGTTTATCGTCTTCTTTCAGGGAGAGCTGATTACCTTCTACTACTACTGGAAGAAGACTCCCGAGGCGGCCAGTTGTCGAGCCCACCGCCGACACCGTCGTCAGCCCGTCTTCCGCCGCATCAAGACACGGACCGCCTCAACTCCCGTCAACACTCCTTCACGCCCGCCGTCGAGCGAGTTCTGTACGTAGCTTTGAGCTCGTGGTGGCAGCTGGGAGGAGAGGGCACGGCCCGGCCTGACATATACTCGTTGGTTGGTAAAGAGATGTATGTGACGTATCTTTGTCCTTCCTTCTTCTCTCTAGTGGACCTCAGCTCAGCCAGTGAAGATGACTTTGACAGTGAAGACAGCGAACAGGAGCTAAAAGGCTACGCCTGCCGCCACTGCTTCACGACCAGTAAGATGCCACATCTCTTTTTCGTGTGCACGCCCGTCATACGGACTTGCTTGGCTATTCCTGTCCTGTCTTGGGATCAGTGTGAGCCCACCCAACACAGCACTGTGTGACAGATGGGCATCAGAGTATGTCAGGACTAATTTGATCAAATCAGACATGAACCCACAGCTCGTTCACTCTCTCCACCTCATTATCCTTCCCCCTCTTTGCACACAGCTGGCTCCCATCTGAACACGCTGACGTTTCTGCCATCCAAGCAGGGTGGCTAATAACTTGGCTTTATAGTGTTAACCCATCAAGCTCTTATTAGTAGATTACTGGGAGTTTAAATGGGGTATAAAACAGGGGACAGATTAGACATTGATTTAGCGCCTGTAGTACGAACATTTTTCTTCTGTTAAATATTGAAAGGAGAAATTATTTTAAGGCGGTGCCTGTATTCCTCAGTATTACTGCAGGTTGTCAGATGATTTCTGTGTGATGTTTGTGCCTCTCTGCTTGTGTGACGGTGTTATTTCACAACTGTAAATGGCTTTCCTCAGCCTCCAAGGACTGGCACCACGGGGGCCGCGAGAACATCTTGCTGTGCACCGACTGCCGCATTCACTTCAAGAAGTACGGTGAGCTGCCCCCCATCGAGAAGCCCGTGGACCCTCCGCCATTTATGTTCAAACCTGTCAAAGAGGAAGAGGATGGACTCAGCGGGAAGCATAGCATGAGGACCCGACGGAACCGAGGCTCGGTGCGCCAGCTATCCTTCTATTTTCACTTTTAGGAACCATACCCTGAGTTATCCCTGGAGCAATCCAGGCCCAGATTACAAAGAAATAAGCTCATAATCTCAAACCAAATGTTTATTTTATTCTAAATTTTCCTTCGTTCAAACTACAGATGTCGACGCTACGTAGTGGTCGTAAGAAGCAGACAGCCAGTCCCGATGGCCGAGCCTCACCCACCAACGAGGATTTGCGCTCTAGCGGACGTACTTCACCCAGCGCAGCCAGCACTGACAGCACCGACAGCAAGACGGACTCCATGAAGAAGCCGAGCAAAGTAAGTGCAGCAGAGAGTCGTCGACACCTCGTTTTTCATTGCACGCACCTCTAATCTATACTTTCTGTGTCTCTGCTGCTTTTGCTCCACAGAAGATTAAAGAGGAAGCTCCTTCACCTATGAAGAGTGCCAAACGGCAACGGGAGAAAGGAGCTTCAGACACAGAGGAGCCCGAGAGGGCCAACGCCAAAAAGTCCAAGACACAAGTGAGTCTGCAATCATCGCTTGTGTCATCTCTATGTGTTACGGGGAGGTTGTGTAGTCGGTGTGCTGATGCGCTTCCTTTCTTCTCCTCTGTCCCCACAGGAGCTGAGTCGGCCAGACTCGCCTTCAGAATGCGAGGGAGAAGGAGAGGGAGAGGGCGAGAGCTCTGATGGGCGGAGCATCAACGAGGAGCTCAGTAGTGATCCTAAAGACATTGATCAGGACAACCGGAGCTCCTCGCCGAGCATCCCGAGCCCCCGTGACAATGAGAGCGACTCGGACTCCTCTGCCCAACAGCAGCAGCTCCTGCAGAGCCAGCACCCTCCAGTCATCCAGTGTCAACCGGGCACCTCGGCCGCCTCTTCGGCGCCCCCTCCACCCACAACCTCAGCCCCCTCACTGCCTCCGCAGGTTTCCCCTGCCGCAGCCTCCAGCTCTCTACCTCCCCAGCCTCTGCCCCAGGCAAGCCCAATGTCTCTAATCCAGTCAGGAGCATCCCTGCACCCTCAAAGGCTTCCCTCTCCACACTCACCTATGACTCAGGCTCCGCCTCCTGGCCCCCCAGTTCCGCCTCAGTCATTACCCAGCCCGCATCACGGACCCATGCCTCCCATGCCTCACCCGTTGCAGCCGGGCCCCTCACACATGGCTCACCCTCACTCCATCACCCCTCAGGGATTCCCTGTGGGTCCGTCTCAGGTCCCGCCCCCGCCGGTCTCTGGCCAATCACAACAGAGGGCTCACACGCCTCCTTCTCAGTCCCAGTCATCTTCTCAGAGCGGCGCCCAGCCTCCCAGAGAGCAGCCCTTGCCCCCCGCACCAATATCTATGCCTCACATCAAGCCCCCGCCAACTACACCCATCCCTCAGATACCCAACCCACAGTCTCACAAACACCCGCCCCACGTATCGGCACCTCCGTTCCCTCAGATGCCTTCAAACCTGCCTCCGCCTCCTGCCCTCAAGCCTCTCAGCTCTTTATCCAACCATCATCCTCCATCAGCACATCCGCCTCCCCTCCAGCTCATGCCTCAAGGCCAGCAGCTTCAGCCTCCCCCAGCCCAGCCTCCAGTTCTCACCCAGTCACAGAGCCTCCCACCGTCAGCCAGCCACCAACCTCCTCCAGCTCCTCCTCTGCCACCCTCCGCAGCAGCCTCGCATCCCAGCGGGCCACCTCAGCAACCTTTCTCATCTCATCCTTTCAGTACAGTTCTACCTCCAACCGCCCCTCCCCCATCATCATCAAACTCTATGCCTGGTTTGCAGCCTCCTTCTTCTTCGGCTCCATCCTCTTCCATCTCCATGCCACTTCCTGCCTCTGTCACCTGTGCTGGCCCGGGCACAGCGGTCCCACCCATGCACATCAAAGAGGAGCCTTTGGACGAGTCGGAAGAGCCGGAGAGCCCACCACCCCCGCAGAGAAGCCCCTCCCCGGAGCCTACAGTCGTCAATACGCCCAGCCATGCCAGCCAATCAGCACGGTACGTCTGCCGACAGCCTGCGCAAACAACAGAACATCAAACATCTGTAAAAGAGAAAAACATACACCTGCACAGGTGGCTGTTTATCAGTAGTCTGCCTGTTCTCTTATCAGGGGATGCTGATTAGCTCTCCAACAAAGAGTCGCCCTCAGGTTTTAAGTCTTTAATGTAGGCAACAAATCAAATGTCCTCTGCAAAACAGGCATCCAAGGCCACAATTAGCCTCGAGCTCTGAGTAGCTGATGGTTCGGAATGATCAGAGATGGAAAACAGGGAGATTAATTACAGTGAGATGGAAGTGTATGAAGCATCCGAATATGAGTACGTGTTGCTGCCTCCCGCTTAAGTGACTCTCAGACTGCCAATGAATAGCAATGAGGAGTTTATTATAGGCTCAGCGTGGCAGGAAGAGTGAATGCTGAGGGAGTTTGTTTGCTTTTAAAGCATGGACTAATGCAAGCTAATACCAGCTGTGCTTTCATCATTTATCCTGCCATTCAGTACACAAAATTTAACATGGATATGATGATCGAACCTTCTTTTATCTGTTTTTTTTT